AGTATGTCAATCATCAATGTGATACAAAAATGATAATGATAGCAATAGAAAATTCAAATTAAAAAGAAATATTTTGGGGGGTATAATTTATATATAATATATGATTATCGAGGTGCGTCAACTAGCCTGAAGCCAACTGACTCTGAACAAAATGGACCATTGACCTTAAGCCTTAATTTTAATAGTTAGTTATTTATGCAAAGATTAGCCTTGCCATTGCTAAATAATAGTTTATTAACAATTGACAATAGTGTTTCAAACTTTAATTATTATTTTTTTATCGGTGGTGGCTTTATATAATAAAATGGTATCAACTTTTCTTTGGTTCAAAAGTCTGCATGTCCTAAGGTAAAAGCAATAAATAAAAAGAAAATCACCCCACATATGAGTTATTTGGTTCAAAGTCCAAAAATTGCAAGCTAAACAAATGCGATGACTGTGCAATATATATATTTTTTTGGCAATATGATTCTCATTGAAATTTATTAAATTTATTTTAAACTGCTGTTGACTACAATATAAGGAAGTCTTCATACTTCTTTCTATTCTATATAGACTATAGTTACACACAGTATTTAACGCACATTTCTTAACTTACCTATTTTTAATTTGTTAAAATTTTAGCTTATGAAATTATATGAAACATTAAAAAAGAATTGAAAAAGTAATTTGTAAAATAAAGGATTTAATTAAAATTAGTCTTACTATAATTTTCAAGGCTGAGAAAGAGACAAAACTATGGGTCAATGGCATGGTCATGGATACTTAAACTTAATTTAAATTAATTAATTAATTAATGAATGGCTATTAAAGTTAACTTATGTTTACATTTTTCATTTGCCTTTGATTTACACGTATATTTTTTTATATTCGGTTATATTATATATTTAGGATATATTTAATATATTATACAGTCTAAGTCTATAAAACTTATGTTTACATTTTTCATTTGCCTTTGATTTACACGTATATTTTTTTATATTCGGTTATATTATATATTTAGGATATATTTAATATATTATACAGTCTAAGTCTATACTACTTAATCCTACTACTATATGAGTATGAGTATGGTATAGTATGGTGGGTCAAAAAGGCGACCATCCCAGGTGGAACATGTTACATGTATTAAAATTAAAAACTTAAATTGGACTTATTTCACTTATTCATTACTCATTACTATATTATAAGTACTATAAGTCAATATAGCGCTTACCTTAAAGCTCTAAGCCTAAGCGCTTTACAATTATTAAAAACATGTAAACTAAGTAAAATAAAAAATGAGACACTAGGATAGTAACTACTATACTATAGAAACAATTGTGTATACCACAAATTTGAATTTTTTTTTTCGTTTTTTTAAGCTTTTTCACTTTACACTTTAGTTCATAAAATAATACATATATAATATTGTCATTTGATACCAACCAAATACTGATATTATTACTGTAGACTAGGAAGTAGTACAAAGTGTAAACGACAACAATAAGATTCTCCTAAAGTAATATTAATAATTATTAATATAGAATAAAGGCAGGATAAATAAATCTTTATTTTAATTTTTTTTAATTAAAACCAATATGATCAAATAATGTTCCTAATTGCCTAAATAGGGCAATTGGCCTAACTGAGATGTATGGTAAGCCTAATAAAATTATTTAATATGAATATGCTATTTCAGAGTTGACAGAATGGGCTCTCGTCTGATTCCAGTCAAGATGCGACAAATTATTGCCAAAAAACTTGGCTCAAATTTCCGTGACGTTACTGAAATAGTTGAAACTGCTGTGCCTTCTCCAGGCCCAAACGAAATTCTTGTGAAAAATAGGTATTTTAAATTAACTTACTTGACTCAGTGTCAATAAACTAAAAGATGATATGGAGGCATATAGGCTAATAGACATGATTTTAGCCCATAGCTATAGTGTTAAATCAGCTCTAGCTATATCCAGGTTATTAGTCTTACTAACATTGTGTCAAATGGTCAGCAAGGTGCATTCTGAATCTGAAACATAACAAAGTAATGTACGGTAAAAAAAAATGTGTATATGCTTGTTTGAGTTTCCAAAAATTTCCAACTGAGAACTGCATAGAAAGTAATTAATTCTCTGTAAAAGTTTTACTATGTGTGAAGATTTGTTGTTTGTAACTGCATTTTTAAATTTATTTTACACAGATTTCTTGGTATCAACGCTTCAGATATTAATTACACCTCTGGTAGATATGACCCTACACGTAAACCCCCATTTCCAGTTGGATTTGAGGTATTATTTTTAATAGATCTAATAATAAATTCATAAGAGCTTAACAATAAAAAAACTGTCATGTGATATTTGGATTGTGCTTTTTCCTAAATTAAAGTATCTTTAAATAAAAACATGATATTTCATTATACAATTTTTCAGGCCATTGGAGAGGTAGTCACGGCTGGACCTGAAGCAAAAACAAAAGTTGGACAGAATGTTGTATATTCCAAATTTGGATGCTTTAAAGACTATGAAGTGAGTGACTATGATACACATTTAACCATTCATCCCTGTGGCACTACAGCCCATGTACAGCATGCCTCACCACATCCTTCCACTCGGATCTAACTGATGCTTTTCTTTTCCATGCTTGGATTCCCAGCTGCTGTAGATCACTCTCCACATCATCCATCCATCTCAGCCTAGGTATGCCTTTGAGCCGTTTTCCTCTGGGGTTTTGGTGGTGCACCCTCTTTACTCCTCTATCATTTGCATTCTTTCTAAGTGTCCAGCCTGGATAGCCTGCCCTTTTTTATTTTTGGTACTAGTGTGGAATCCTGATATAGACTATGCAATTGCTGGTTGGTTCGTATTCTCCATCCATATTCATCCAATGTACACATTTGATAAATGAACCAAAAATATAAATATTTCCTACTGCACCAATAAGTTTACAATGTAACTTAATTTAGAAAGATCATTTTCAGCCGCATATCATGATAACAATATCCAATACTCTACACACAATTCATTTCAAAATACTGCCCAATAATGAATGAGTACATTTTCTGTTTAAAAACTGAAATATAATACAATTGTAACAATTGATGAATATAATTATCTTATAATGAAATGTCTTATAAAGATGATCAACAAAACAGAAATAAAAAAAAAGGAGGGTGATGGAAATCCTTTTGAGAATTGAACCCCCATCCATTTGAATGGCTGGTGTCTTCTTTACGAAATGACCATAAAACAACGTATATTGCTAGGAATTAGACACAAATTAAATAGACAAAATTGTATACCCAAACTATCTACCAAACTATCAATTTAGAACTATAATTTTTTATTAATATTTTGTCTAAATGTAAAGTAGATTTTAAGGTTATGGTTTGTTTTATGATTGTTTCATTATAAGATTATCCCTCACCTTGACTGAAAACAAAACCCCCATCCCTAGGGAAATAAAAGTCGGATAAGGCCACTTTCGATTTTGTCCAGGACCACTCCATTCACCACTAACAATGTCTATATCAAGTCATTTAATTTTTTTCCAAAAAATTGAAAAAGCTAAAAAAAAAAACTAATCTCAATGAAAAAAAATATAGATGTCCAGATTTATTTATATATAATTTAAAAATTTTTTGACTATATTGCTTCTAAGCTTTTTATATTCTAAATGGCTTAACCTCTTTTTGTTGTTCAAGGTTGTTGATGACAAATCTGTTATGCCAATCCCAACAAGTGATCCAGCTTATCTAACCTTTATGGTTAGTGGATTGACAGCCTCTATAGCATTGGAGAAGGTAAGAAAAAAAAGTGGATTGACAGCCTCTTTAGCATTGGAGAAGGTCAGAAATACAGTGGATTGACAGACTCTATAGCAATGGAGAAGTTAAGAAATAAAGTGGACTGACAGCATCTATAGCATTGGAGAAGGTAAGAAATAAAGTGGATTGACAGATTCTATAGCATTGAAGAAGGTAAGAAATAAAGTAGATTGACAGCCTCTATAGAAGTGGTTCGCAACCTGTGGGTCGCAACCCCTTTGGGGGTCCAATGACCCCTTTACACGGGTCCCCTTAGTCCATTGGAACACGCATATACTCTACAGTTGAGAAGTGGCAACGAAAAATGGTTGGGGGTCACCACAACATGAGGAACAGTATTAAAGGGTGGCGGCATTAAGAAGGTTGAGAACCACTGTTCTCTGGCATTGGAGAAGGTAGGATATAAAGTGGATTGACAGCGTTTTCATCATTGGAGATGGTAGGAAGTAAATAAATATTTTGACATTATGTTTAAAGAATTAATATGGTTTCTTTAATTTGTAATATTTTAAAGAACTAAAAGGTAGGCTCATTTAAAAAGTATTATTCAATAAATCTGTCGAGTTCTTTTTATAATCATGGTATTTTAGAAATGCAATTATCTGCAATATAATATGACATATAGAATAATCAATCGAGACTAAATATTTTACCAAGAAAGTTATAGATTGGAAGAAAATGTTTTATTTACTAAAGCCATTATATACAACTATTGTATAAGGAATTGATAAAAAAAATTATTAGAATTTGTAGTATTGCAACATAGTCTGATGATGCTACTATTAGTTAAATAAATACATTTTTTATTTTTTATTAAAGATTTTCAATAGTAATAAGAAACATTATAAAAATATTTTTGTTATAAGATAGTTTTCTCATTATCCAGCAATGACTTTATTTTACATTCTAAAATTATTATTTTTTCTCAAGAATGGAGATCTTTTACCTGGAAAGACTGTGCTTGTTACAGGTAAGAAAATTAAGTTATTTTGTAAATGCATTAATACCTATGATGCCAAATCATACACATCAGTTTCTATCAATAATGGCCTTATAGATGTGGATCATCATTCAGCTGCTATAGCTTTATATATATAAATATTTAAACGGTTTTATAATTTTCTTCACAATGTATGAATGGGGTAGGGCCATTATGAATTGAAATGATTTATACAATTTAATGTACGAAATTTTCTATTTATTATTTTAATTAGCTGCTGCTGGAGGCACAGGACAATTTGCGGTAAGTTTTTCAAAGAAATGTGTCATGTTTTTGATTTATCAGAATGTATGAAAATTAATAATTCATCTTTATACAGGGCAAAAGGCAATGTTTTAAAGATTTGTTATAATAATTTGGTCAAGATATTTATGTGTAACAATATGTTAGTAGACTCCTGGTAATAAATATCTGCTTAACGATGTTGCAAGCCGCTTTAACTTATGAAATACTATGCAAGTAATTAAATTTTGAAATCAACAATTTTTAAAGATTTGATCACATTTATATTTTAACTATATTTAAGATAATGACATCTCCAGGTTCAAATAGCCAAACAGGCTGGCTGTCATGTGATTGGAACATGTTCCAGTGATGACAAGGCTCAGTTTCTCAAGGTAAACTAGGCCACTGTAGTTTTTTCATTTAAATTAGTTTTTGCACTGTTAACCCTTTGAACCTGCGATCCTGCTTTATCGATCTGTGCATTAACCCTTTAAAGTACGATGCGCCTGAAATATGTCAATTTTTTCCTTACGCCTACAGTCTGTTGCGGCTAAACCCGCCCATTTTGAGGTTGTTTACATTCATTCTTAGCACAACGGAAATCCATTGCGCATTACTATTTATAGTTCTACCGGAAGAAAGCCTCTTTGTTGGCATTTATTTTGATACTATTTTGAACGCGGTGTGTTAAGGGCTCATTTTCTACGATTTTTTTAAAAAAGTCATGATTTTTTCACTGTAAAAAATGGCTTTCTAAGCCTTTGATAAAATTTTGAAAGAACTTAGGCGTAATGAAGCTTCACTGTTTCATAAATCTAGCAGCGATAGTGAATAATCTGATAGAGGCATTAATTTAAATGTTGCTACTAGTATTAGTGATTCAAATGAAGAAGATAATAGTAATAGTAGAGACATCAATGACAACGGACCTATCAATTCCACTCCATCTGATCAGCAAGATCATGAATGGTCGGGAATTTTTCTCAAATCAAAGTGGGAGGGTCCCCAAACTGTTTTTAGGTACAAATTTTGCTTTAATCATTTATTTGTATTTAGGTTTTTTTAATTTTATTTTCTTGCTTCTAGTTTATTTTCTGTAAATTAATTTAGGATAAAGATCCTTCATTTAAAATGGAGTTATGTACCTTTGCTTGGTCGCTGGGAGCAGAAAAGACTGAATAGGCTTGGACTGTAAAGGGTTAAAAATCCATACCTACCTTAGATCGACAATCCGCATATAATATGTGTTGTAAATACGGAGTTCAGGGTTTACCACAGGACTTGCGAAAGATCACAGTAAAGACTGCGCCCATGGATGCATTGTTTTTATTATGTTTTAGTCATGTTTATCGATGTTTAGAGGTGACGAAAATACTAAAAACTGCTACTCTAAAGGACTCAAGCCAGAGCAGGTTTATGATAATGTAAATGATTCAAAGGTTTATTATTGGGTTTTGAAAAAGGATTGTAATAAAGCAAATAGACAATGATAGTGACGATTGATTGACTTCAACTTCTAGTGCTATTGATGTGTGCTTTGGGAATCAAAGAACCAACACCAGGTGTACCCTTAGTCCAAGCCAAGGCTTTTATGAAAAATCAGGGTCATATAAATGAACTTTTACTACGCTATTTTAGACCATTTCTAAGACAATTTTCTCCTTGTGATACGTCTTATAATACTTATGGACTACTAACAGACAAATTTAGGTTGAAACATATAAAATTTATTTAATATTATAATCTTTTGATTTTGTTCGCTTGTGTGTCAGTTAGTGGAATTTTTACCCATGAGCCCAGGGGCAGGGGTATTTTAGGACCAGGAGCCAAGGGTTCAAAGGGTTAAGTGAATGCAAAATGTTTTTCTGAACTTAACCTCTTTATAAAAACAGTTAAATTGTCCCAGTAAGTCTAATTAGCGGTGATCTATAATTCGAATTTAAAAAAAAACAATAATGAGTTTAAATTATTTGATTAAAGTTTGTATCCGTCGTTAGTGAATGTTCATCATAAAGAAAAAAAAGAAATTATTAAGTCAGTTCCGAATTCACTAATATCACTATTTTATTTAAATGTCTTCATTAAATTTTTATTTACTGTGGCATTAAGCATCACTTTAAATAGCTGAAATGAATTTTCAGTGCCCAATCTTTTTCATCCCCAGAGTATTAGAATTCACTAATATCACTATTTTATTTAAATGTCTTCATTAAATTTTTATTTACTGTGGCATTAAGCATCACTTTAAATAGCTGAAATGAATTTTCAGTGCCCAATCTTTTTCATCCCCAGAGTATTGGGTGTGATCGGACAGTGAACTACAAGAAGGAAAACTTGACAGATGTTTTATCGAAAGAGTATCCTGTAATTATGGACTTTAAAAAAAATAATTTTATCACTGTCATTATGTGCAGTGCTGTTTGCTCTGACTAGTTACAAATTCATCAAATAATAGCTATATTTAGTTAAGATGCAATCATACTATTCAGAGGACACTTATTCTTTCTCAATTATCTACTTAACAAAATATCTTATTTTTATTTAACAACATCATTATGTGCTTCTTTTAATTAAATGCCTTTATAAATACATTTATTTTATTTACTAAAGAAAGGAATCAATTAATTTGTTAAAATTCTTTTTTTTAAACTTCACAGAAAGGTGTAGACGTTGTGTATGAATCCGTTGGAAATGAAATGCTAGATGCAGCAGTGAAAAAGTAAAGTCTGTAATTAGAAATAATGTGTAAAAGTACATGACCTCTTTTGATGCCTTCTTACTAGAGTTTAACCGGGACAGTTTTTTTACACAACATCTGGGTATTTTGAGAAAATACTTGGTGACTCCAGTTAACTTCACATTTTCTGAAAGAATAGGCCTACAGATAGTCTACACCCTACCTGCCGCCTTTGAACATTGGCCTACAGACAGTCCTACACCATACCCGTGGCTCTTTATTGATTAATGTAATTGTGGCCTCCTTAAGGAAAAAATTTAACCTTTTTACCTGAGTTGAAAGCTTTTTTTTTCACCCAGTACTATTAATATAAAACATGGGTAGGGGGAGGGCCGGTTGTGAAAAGTAAGCAGGACACACCAGTACCAAAATATATATAAGAGATACTTATAGTTGCATTATTTACATTCCAGTTTGGCCATCTTTGGTCGTATCATTGTGATTGGATCAATTTCCAATTATGAATGTGAAAAGTAAGCAGGACACACCAGTACCAAAATATATATAAGAGATACTTATAGTTGCATTATTTACATTCCAGTTTGGCCATCTTTGGTCGTATCATTGTGATTGGATCAATTTCCAATTATGAAGGTGCAAAAAGTGAAGACTTCTCAACTATGGAACATTCTAGTAAAGTCAACATTCCACTGTCAGTAAGTGGATAAACAATTTTGCTAGTGCTTAATAATATAGAAATGTGGAAACAATTTCATATTCATTTCTTTGAATGTCTACATAACATAGATCAGTCTTAATATGAAAATTTTTTTTTTTTTCACTATGTGAATGACCCCATGTTATATTATAGTTATATAGTCATAGTTAGCATTACATTTATTGCTAAATTTTATTCTGGCAATTCTGATAAAATCAGTAAAAGGAATTTATTTTTTATAAATAATTCCCTACAAAACAATATCTCTAAATTATCTTATTTCAACAAAACATTGAGATTGAATTCTTAAATTGCATTACAATTACAGTCACGCCTCAAAATTTGTCAATTTAATACCAGAAAAGTTGAATTAAGCATCAATTAACTACTCAACAACTCTAGAATCTGAATGTAACAAGTTGACAATATTATTTCTCATAAGCAAAACAACAACGAAATCATTAGAGAACCTAATGGCTCCTTGTGTCATTTAAATTTAATTTTGCTCACAGCTCCTCGCAAAATCTGGCAGCCTCATAGGTTTCTTCCTGCCACACGGTCGCAAGGAATCATCTCGTCATCTCCAGCTGTTAACCTCCCAGTACCTTCAGGGGAAGCTGAAGGTGTTCACAGATAAAGGTGTTGGTGTTCCAACTGGACCTTTCATTGGACTGGATAAAGTAGTGGATGCTGTTGAGGTAATTTAAAAAACAAAAAAAGAATCCAAAAAATTACATGTCATACACACATTTTTATTTATCTTTGTATGATAATATCACTGAATTCAAGCATTAAAAAAAATACATTATTCGTGAGGCGCACATGCCTATTTCACGGACTTTCCCTTTTTCTTGGAAAACTTTCCCTATTTTTGCATTATCTCAAATACCTTTTCTCAACCTATCAATCAAATGAAGGTTTGAATAGCAAGTGATATGAAATAGTTATGAAGAAGCTAGAATATGTTTAGTTATTGGTTTCAAAATGTTCTATAGTAAAATATCTAAAAGATCCTCCAAAGTATGGAATGAATTTCTGTTTTTCCAGTTTTGTTTTTTTTTAACCTGTCATTGATTTAACTGTCTTTGATTTACCTTTTGTTGATTTACCTGTCGTTTATCTGCCTGTGGTCAATTTACCTGTCATTGATTTACCCGGCGTTGATTTTTATTCCAGTACATGTACTCCCGAGGGAATGTTGGGAAAGTCGTGGTTGAACTGAATGAGAAAAGTGCACTGTGACTATAATATTTGATGACAGTACCACAGTACCACACCACAACACACCTACTGAAATGGCAGCTGAACAAAGCAAGATTTACCTTGTGATTTTTTCTCATGTTTTCAAAAGTTTTGTTTACCTTTTCTCAATAACGAGAGTCTCAAAAGGATTTCAATGACACCATGTTGTTAATTTTTGTGTAATCAAAAAATAATTATTTAAGAAAGTGTTCAATTCAATTTGTTAGGTTTTTGTGTGTGAAACTTTGTGAAAATTAGAAAATAATTTGAAATTTATGATATTTTTGTGTGTTTACAAACTGTATAGTGGTAGCAGGAGATACTAAGTTTGACTGAGATACCATGCAACGTGGCACTTGGCTCAAGGTTTTAATTTTAAATGATGTATATATCACTTTTGTTTAAGGTAATACAGAAGAATATTAACTTGACATTTTAAAAAATTTGAACGACCATTGTGTTTTAAAATTATTCTTTATCTCATACCTGCAGTTATATTTCAGGAAAATATTCTCATGTCATTAAACAATTGAAATATAATAATTTTGTTGCTGAATTTTTCTGAAATCATCGACTATGACGGCCCAGTAGGGTCTAAATGAATCAATTGTTTTCTTTTAAAGGACATTTGCCAGTCAGTGTAAAATATTGTTCTGATACTCTGCTGAGGTGTAGTGTCAAGATCTTGTTCCCAGTCTTTCTCCTAGTTGAGGAGAAAGCTCACTCATCATTTGGAGCAACTAGACCAGGGGTCATCAAACTACAGCCAGCGGGCTGGATCCGAGGCCAGTTCATCCAGCCCGCCAATGGTATTTGAACTTGCTTGATAAAACGTATGAAACGAGACGTTGTTATACAATTTAAATTTCAATATAATGTTTAGAATACTAGGAGACCTATGTGCGGAGACCTACTGGCCGCTATGCGCCTTAATTTACCATTTTCAATTTTAGATTATTTTATCTAAAAGCCCTTGTTTATGACGCATCTGTTTACCCTCGAGCTCCTAAAATCGTACAATATCGTCTCCAAAAGGTACAATGTGGTATCTTAATAGTAAATAAATAAACATATAGTATATATAATACAATAACTACTCGCATGGCAGTGCCTAGTGGGATCGAGTTATGATGGCGGCAAAAAAATGTAACTGCTAAAAGTGGACGACCGATGTATATATTAATTAAAAACAGGGGTCACTTTTGTTGCAGACGTGTATATCTCTTTTGATATTAATTTATATTGAGTGGAGTTCAGATCACATTATCACAGTCTATTACTGGTAAAAATAAAGTTAGGGGTGAAATTTAACGTGGTTCAAATTCGAAGTCAGATCAGCATAAAACAAGATGTGTTTATATAAGAAATTAATTAACAAATGGTGACATCATTAAAAAAAAACAAAACAACCAAGTAACTCCAGGTTTTTGTTTTTAGGAAAAGCTGGTTACAAAAAGTATGTCCATAGCACTGATCCATGTTTATGCTTGCTGCTGGACTCATGTTGTGATATATTTCCAATTTCTGAAACCTGTATCTCCCCCCCCCCCCCCCTTTTTTATTTTTT